TTTAATTTTGTGATTATATTCTCTGTGCAATCCTATATAATAAAAGCCCAGTGACCAAATGGTGGAATGACCAGAACAACCAGTTGACCAGTCGCTATGAGCTGCCCCCTGGTGGTCAGTGCGCTCCCACAGTGGGAGTGCTGCTCTGCTGACTGGGATGAGCGGCACTCCCACAGCAGGCCAATCCCCACAGGCCATGCCCCCCACCAGTGCACGAATCTGTGCACCTGGCCTCTATTAATAAAGTTAATTTTAAGCCCTAGGCTGTTTGGCTCAGTCGATAGAGCATCTAACCTGTGGACCAAAGAGTCCTGGGTTTGATTCTAGTCAAGGGCACATACCTTAGTTGCAGGTTCCTCACCTGGCCTGGGCCCTGGTCAGGTCACTTACAGGAGGCAACCAATCGATGTGTTTCTCTCACATCAATGTTTCTCTCAGTTTTTCCCTCTCTCTTCCTCTCTCCCTAAAAAAATCAATGGAAAAATATCCTCGGGTGAGGCTTAACAACACCACCAAAAAAAGTTGTGTAATATCTACACTCATGTATCAATAATCTTAATGAAGATAAACTACCTGTTCACTAAAAAGCTAAACACAAAAGCTTTGTCTTCAAATTCTTCTTCACAATGGACAGATCTTTATTAATGTCAGGACACAGTTATTATATACTTAGTATTAAAAAAAATCAAAGATTCCAGAGATTATAACGTTATATACAACAGAAAACTTAATCATATATAAATTAGTTGTCTAATGATGATCCTCACAGCTTTTAGGATTACATTCCTGAAAAATGTTATATTTACTTATTTTTAATATGTCAAACATATTTTTTATTTTAGTGAGTATTTACAACTGTCAAGTAAATATGTATTCTAACATTAATATACTATAAATATGTGTGTGTATTGCAACCTGGGTCTAACTAACCTAGATGTGTTCCTACTGCCTAGTCACTTTGATCAGATTACAGGTAGGCAGTCCAGATACCATTTTTTTCTGCAGTTCAGATGTAGGTTATATCTGGGAATGTTAGAGCTGCTAGTGGAAGAGATTCGATCATTCACCTCAACTTCTTCATTTTGTTGTTGAGATCCAGAGAAGTTGCAGCTTGTCCAAGGTCAGATAGCTAATTAATGGAAGAACTAGGACTGAGATATTAAAATTCACTTATAACCTATGTGTTGGCTGTTTCTCTCTCCATTCCTCCATTGCCATTCGTCTCTT